CGCGGCGTCCGAGGAAAGCATGGCTAAGAATAAGGGGTCGCTACAAGGCCATGGCTTCTAACCCTATTCGGTAACATTACGTCGCAACTTGTTGCTTACAAATAGCTCTCACCAATGCGGCGTCTCTTTAATTTCCTCAGCCTCTATATCTCCGTCTGAGTGCTGACGTTATGCTGGCCGGCGATCAAAATCATTTTGTCTTATGTTATTTCCTAGCTATAATGTTAATGACTGTCAGGTTACCAGACATTGCTTCCTTGAAACCCATAACTGGACCTTTCATTTACCTGAGACATTTGTGTTCGTAGACGTCATTTCCGGGGTAGGCCCCTCAGATTTTTAATTGAAAAGTAATATTTTGTTTTTAAAAGGGACGTCAATGAGGGCGCTTGTCATTCAAAAGAAAGCACAAGTGAGAATATTAAAAATGCGCCATTTATTTTGTTATCTTTTAGACAAAGGTGTAGATTGTGGCCCTAAGATGTATTTGTATGTCACTCATTTTTTCATAATTTACCCTTTGTTAGATGGGGATACGAAAGCTTACTACGAGGCCTCACTTCGGTATCTTCAAGAGGCTAAAGAAAAGATTCATTCCCTTCGCACTGAAGTGCGCGAACTCCGGAAGGACTACAAAGACCACTTGGACGTAATATTTCATAATTCCCGTTTTAAAACCCAGTTCTAACGTTTTGTTATAAAAAAAACATTCTTTTAATATGGCTTCTCCTTCCCCTTTTAGACGGCCGAGTACTTATTTGATCAGGCTTTTCAGAAGAGTAAAGAGAACTATACAAAGCTACTAAATAGGACGGCGTCGGTGAGCTATTGTGTTCCTTTGGGCTAATTTTTAGCAAGTAGTAACCGCGATGGACTACGAGGTCTCCAGTAAGCTCAACCAACTGAATGCACTGCGTCATCAAACAAAGTAAATCTTTTCTAATGTATGCAGTCTACTTTAATGCTTATACATATGTACAGCAATTTTCGTGTAGCCAAGTCTACTATGTGCTTAGAAATGTCTGATTTCGCTACACTTACTGTTCGTCTCAGCAAACGCTCTGCTGTAAATTAACCGTTCTAATGGTTGAGGTTACTAGAAGCAGTTATCTACAAGAATTAAAAATGCACACTGATGACATTGGTATTCGTCTCAGGAGCACGAAGTACGTTTATTGAAGCTATCCAGAGGTACTGCTTTTGAAGTCTGCAGGTGCTTGTGCGTGACTGAAAAAAATACTTACTCATGGAATCGCACACTTTCTTACCTTATAAACACCGCGATCATATTTTGACAGGTCAACTTGTGAGATGAACTGAGGGTTTCCGACTACTATTAATTAGACTGGTTCTTTTGGGGGTTTCAGGTAAAATTACATTATTTATTGTGAGAGTGTGCCTAATTTGACGAGATGACTACCCTTTATGTTGCCTCTGAACATACACTTACTTAATCGTACTGAAAGTCGATTGCCTGGTGGTATATAGAAAGAATAAGGGACGTTCTGGTGGTGAGCATCTTTTCTTCTTTTTATTCTTCCTCTTCTTCTAATATATTGAAATCCCTGCAAGTATGACTAATGGCTTTCATTGGGTTTGTGCGTTCGTTAACACTGAAGACGTGCAGTCTTTCTGAGAAGTGCAGAATGTTCAAAACATATTTCTTGGGCCGGCTGCATAATTATCCATGATTACTACTGGATGAAAATGGCAGTAGGTAGGTAGTCTTAATATTCTGCGATAGGAGATCTTTCGAGATGATACTAGAGAGGCAAGAGACGCCTCGGAACCTAAGAAATAAATTTTAGAATATTATAAGTGTTAATAAGGGGAAAAATTCGTCCTCAAAAATATCTGAAAACTAGCCTAATTTACGCGCTGGAATATGATGGCGTTGGCTGGCTATGATTAATGTTCCTGATCACCGATGGGACAAGTAGGAAAGAATAAGTACTTTGCTTTGGATAATTATTCCGAAAAATTTCCACATGACTCTTAGACTACACACCCATGGATATTTTTCGCATATTGCTAAATATCTTACCTATTAATTCATCTGTAATTATTTAAACTGTGGATTTTCTATAGCCAGATTTTAAGTATTTCCTATCATTTGCCGTCAAAAAGTGAATCGGCCTATTGTTGACCTAATAACTGGCATTTTTATTTTGTTTGGAAAAATTTGCAAACCTACTGCCATCACAGATAAGATACTCTTTGTAAGAGACACCCAAAGGATGATAGCCGAAGTTTTCATCTATTTCTAATCCGTCTCATTTCTTGCAGAGCTAAAACACAGAAAGCCGAGGATATTGAAGCTGAAGTGATGACACTCCGAAGGCGAATAGATGATGCGAAAATCTGCTCTGATCACGAATACAGGTTGATACAAAATATTCGTAATCTGGAGAACAAACTCGAGAAAGCGGCAATGAAATCGAGTGAAACAGTGCACATTGGGCGCACTTACGAAGCCATTCGACACAAACTCATTGAGGTATGGCATCGGGGAGCTAGGTATTTAAGTTATTTAAAGGAATTCGGTGATTGACGTTTACTTGCTCCTATCTTCCTGTTCGCTCTCCACAGGAGAAATCTACCTACACCACAACGGTGGAAACCCTTGAGACTGAGATTAGGCGTTGCAGTGCCAAGCTGGTTGAGGTCAAATTAGTCAGTGAGGATGCTGTCACGTTGAGGGATCAGGCGAGGGCAGAACTAAAACGACACGAAGAGATTATTTACTCTCAGAAGAAGAGGAGAGAACTAGAGGTTGTAAACATGCGACGAACTCTTGATGCCTGTAAGGGTGAACCCATGCCAACGAGGACACTGGTTGTAAGTTCGGCTGTTTACATTATTGATTGCTTTTACCCCCATCATCATGGGCGGAAAAATTACTCGTAGATTGTTTATAAGAGCCTATCGATGTGTGTTAAGGCTAATAGAGTTAACCCATAACGGCTGCGCTCTTCCAGACCCGGTTCTTTGGGTGGAGAGGGAAGTCATGGGAAGGCCGGATTGGCAAGAACAGTATATTCTGAACAGAGGGATTAAAGAATAGGTTGTAGGAGATTTGACTGTCTGAGCACACGTCCTTCCGCTAGAGCGGCGTGGCCCGGAGTGATGGCTGGGCCGCACTCACCGCATTGAGGTCTGTGTCCAGACGGGATGAGGCCAACCTTCTAGTCAGGCTAGTCTACTAAAGCGGACATTTTATTGGACAGAATGAGGCAAGGTGCGCACTATTGCGCCTGGTTTCAGAGGCGCGATGACTCAGCATGCGGCGGACATTTACGTGCGGCTGATCATGGATTCCAAGTAGCGCTAGCGGCCACTAAAAGCCGTCATTTTTGGAAAATTTTGACTAGAGTCAGATAAGATGATATTCCGCTGTTGCACTGTCCAAGTATACGGATGCTGTTTGCGAGTCACAAGGATCGATTGGCCGATTCCATGCTGATAGGCAAACCACCAAGCCGGGAAGACTCGTAATGCCGATGATGCTCACGAGGAAACAATCGCAATACTTGCGAAGTCAGTTACTAGAACCGATATTATATAAGTCTCGGAGTGTACCGCGTACTGGTTAACAAACACTAACTTAAACAAAAATAAAAAGAAGCAGGTTTAAAAAATATCTATCACCTGGAATAACTATAAAAATTGTTGAGTGAATAAGATACAGCAGGATAGCTATGATATACCCTCCCTTTGGGCTTATGTTGGATGGGCTTGTCGCATCAGCTTAAATTTTAGGCAGACCCTTGCCTTTACGACCTTCAGCCCGGCCCCGAATAGAAAGATAAGGAGGTGGACGCTAGTTTAGATAATACTGTATTCTGTATGGAATAATTGGAGAATCTTTGGACCATTTTAAAGTTGCAAAAATGCCCGTCAGTCGGGAATGTTTTGCTCGTTATCTATCATTAATCAGATCCTACAATGCGGTAAATGCTCTGGACGAACACGGGACTAGATCGGAGCATGTTTAGCGTTATTGGGATGCACAGCCCTAACAA